GTATGACAGCTACAGTACACCTACGCTATGCTGTTGATCTCACATAACCACTTCCGACTGTCGGCAGAGAGCTTTTCATTTGTTACTTAAAGCTCACCTAACTGCTAAAGTTCACACATTATTTAAGACAAGTGAACAGGCAGTAATAAAATAAGAACAAATACACAAATTTCAAGCAGAGATGAATTCGAAATAACAAAGTGAATACAGTGAAACATTTTTAACCAAATTGCTCATTTTTGTGGTTTTCATTTAAATCTCAGGCATACAACTAATATAAATATTATAACTATTCATAAAACAGTGGCCTAAATAGTATTGCTGAATTACTTTAATTTTCACCAGCTTTCAACACACAAGCCCTGTATATAGAGATCTATGTTTGGATGTATGTTCCTACCAAGAACACACGATTAAGCAAAAACAACACTCTTAACTCTTTCCCCACCAGCGTTTAAAAAATAAAAAGTTGTCAGCCACTGTCAACATTTTTGATAATGTTCACAAAATTTTCATGGCCCCTAGAATATGTTGTTGTATGGATTTCTGAAAATCCAATATATCAAAAGAAAGAACAGAACAATTTTCTTTTTTTATTCTAGCTTCATGTATTCCTTTTTTTTATCAACACTTGTTGGTAAGTTTCATAAAACAAGCAACATTTGGAGCAAAAAGCTGAAAAAAGTCTTGTCAAAGACTACATCTGGATCAGATTCAGAAGTGAAATTTTCATCAATGGCGGGGAAAGAGTTAAATGTCTCAAAGGTGCATTGTGTAATATTTAGGATGATCTGTTGACAGAAATCACATACATAACTATGTTTTCAGTGGTGTATAAAGACCTTACTCAATGAACCGTTATGTTTTTATTACCCTAGAATGAGTCATTTCTTTCTAAATACACCTCGGGTACCCTTACATTGAAATGCGCCGACATGTTTCTACAGTAGCCCTGAATGGACAAACGCGCTTCGTCACCATGTTGTTCTTCGTGCAAAGAAGCAAGTGAAAGTCAGCAAATAAAACACTGACACAATGATGAACAAGTAACAATAATATTCGCAATAACATCGTTTTACTGAATAATTACCTAAACCTGATTTCTTAATTTATCTTTGTAAAGAAACCTCATTGCTTAACTGGCTACTCTCTGCTGTCTCAGACGACGATCTTTTCCTGTCGGCCACCGTAACTTCTGTTGGATGCAGTTTGCAAACTCACCACTAGATGCTGCTAAAAATGACACAGTGCACCCTTAAGCTAGACATCATATTCCGATAAGGATATCTGAGTACCAGCAGTGTCGTGGAAAGAAATTCTAGATGTTGATTTCACACGCATGAGATACAGTTAGGTTTTTCCTGTGCTGAACGTTTCAGTCGTTTTTTCCCCACAGCTGAGAGACTGTAAAAACATGGGCATGTTCACAGCTGGCCGTGTGTGATTGCAGCAGCTGAAACTGGTGATACTGAAATCTGTGTCCAAATCTGTCCTTCCGAACAAAGAGGACTAAAAATCACCAAGCGTGGTTTTCAGCTGCGCTACTATTGCCCAGAGACATGGGAAAAAGCGATGGTTTACGTAATCACGCCATAAACCCAGATTAGCTCGACGCTCAAAGGAAAAGTGTGTCAGTAATTCTAGTCACAAGTCCTCACCACTCTCCTTCCAGAAGTCTCTGTGCTCCTGGTGGAGCAGAAAAATACGTTTTGTTGTGTGGTAGTTCTTCCCTTAGTGGAGGGTTTTAGCTTTGCTTACTGTACTGAGGGTGATTGGGTCTATGTTGTGGATTTGAGTGGCATGTGCACTGCCCTTTTAAAAGTTTGGGGTCAGAGAAGTTTAGCAAGAAGTCTCTTGCGCTCTTCAAGGCTGTGTCTATTAAATATACAGTAAAAACTTGTAATATTGTAAAATATTATTACAATTTAAAATAACTTTCTTTTGTGATAAATTTTTTTTAAAGTGTAATTTATTCCTGTGAAGTCAAAGCTGAATTTTTTTAGCATCATTACTTCAGTGTTTAGTGTCACATGATCCTTCAGAAATCATTCTAATATGATGATTTGGTGCTCAAGAAACATTTATTATTATCAATGTTGAAAACTGGTGTGCTGGTATTTTTGTGGAAACTGTGATACATTTGTTTCCAATATTCTTAGATGAACAGCATTTATTTGAAAAAAATCTTTTATACCATTATTTGTCTTTTCTGATCAATTTTGGATCCTTGCTAAATATGATTTAATAATTTCTTGGAGAAAAAAAAATCTTACTGAATGGCAGTGTAAAAAAAAACTTTAATTTACTCTTTATATAAAGTTTCCATGGATTTTAGGCAATTTTGCTAAATGTTTAAGGGTCGCCCTGCAATGAAAAGTCTGTTGTTATTTCTGCTCCAAACCTTCATGACTTTATTTTTCTTCTGTTAAAGGAGTTGTTCACTTTTGAAAAAACTTCAGTGGGAACCAAACGGTTCAAGGTCCAAAAGACACTTTCAGTACAAACTGCGAACTGTTCAAAGGGCTTTAAACGGGTCTTATCAAGCGAAACAATCGCTCATTTAATAAATAAATAACACATTTTAAGTTTTGTAAGCTCAAATGCTCTGTTCTGTGGCGCACATTTGTGACTATCCTGTTCGAACTCGTTCATCAAAATGAACAAATCTTTTTCCGAGTCATTTGGTTCATTCAACGAACGAAACAAATGAATTGACTTGGAAAAAGATTTGTTCATTTTGATGAACAGGAGAGTCACGAACGCGCATCAAAGAACAGAGCAAGGCGACCATTTGAGCTTATAAAACTTAAACTTTGTTATATATTTTTTTAAACGAGCGATCGTTTCGCTTGATAAGACCCTTATTCATCGTCTAGTGTCGTTTAAAGCCCTTTGAACAGTTTGCAGTTTGTACTGAAAGTGTCTTTTGGACCTTGAACTGCTTGGTTCCCAGTGAAGTCCATTATATGGAGAAAAATGCTGGAATGTTTTCATCAAAAACCTTAATTTCTTTTCGACTAAAGAAAGACATGGACATCTTTGATGACATACGGGTGAAATTATCAGCAAATGTTTTTTGAAAAAAGTGAACTACTCCTTTTGTGTCGGCTTTTCGATGCCGACCTTGGATTCAGGAAACGGTGATTAATTATTTTGCACGCACTTCACTCCAAACGCAGTCTTCAATTCAAAAGTTTTATTTCTAACACATTTCTAAATTAAGTTTATAACTTCAACAAACGAAAAATCCAAACCAAGTTAGCGAAGTGGTCAAAAAACTGTGAAAAACCACCCTTTCCAAAACCAAACATCTGTTCTTTCATGTCACTTCCCCTTCCGCCCACACACAATAACATATCTCTCTTCCTCACCCGACAGGTGCCTGATAAATAAATAAATAAGTACATAAATACAAATATAAATATACCAAAAAATAATAATAATAATAATAATAAACAAATACATGAATTATATTAAATAAACTCCAATGAAATACTTATAGAAAAACGGCTACAACATTCCAGCCCCTAATTCTTGGTTTCCAAAATTACAAAAAATATTTCAGTAGCCGTACCAGACATAAAGAACATTTCACATTTCAAGTCCATATTGTTGATGGGATTAAATTGTCCAAAAAAGGTCCTTTAAATGTTCAAAAGGTTCTTTCAAAAGGTCTTCACAAAAATAGGTGTTATGCACGTGTATGGTGTGTATGTAGATTTATCAGTATATATGAGTCAGTATAAGTGTAGAGTCAAAAGTTGGAGTCAAACATCTGACTCTAGAGTTCAGCAAGCTGCTTCCATTAACAGACATAGCTTACTGATAGGTCTTTCTAGTTCACTTGTTTGAGTCTTCAAGTGTACACGACGAACAAATCCTTTGGAATCAGCCAACGTTTTTATAATGCGCCCCAGTGGCCAAGAGTTTCTAGGTGCCGTTTCATCAACTACAAGCACGAGATCTCCGATGCTGAAGTTTCGACGTGGTTTATTCCATTTCTGGCGTTGCTGCATTATAGGAAGGTATTCTTTCACCCATCTCTTCCAAAATAAGTCAGCTAAGTATTGAACTTGTTTCCAGCGTCTTCGAATATACAAGTCTTCTTTCTTAAACAAACCAGATGGTAAAACCGGTTTTGCTTTAAGCTGTATGATGTGATTGGGTGTCAACGCTTCAAGGTCTTCTGGATCATCTGAAGATGGAGTGATCGGACGGTCATTCAGTATTGCTTCTATTTCACATAAAACAGTGTGCAATGCTTCATCATCCAGCATCTGTTGTTTCACTACTGAGTAAAGCACTTTCTTGACTTGCTGGATTAAGCGCTCCCAAACACCGCCATGATGGGCACCATGAGGGGGGTTAAAAGTCCATTTTATGCCGCTGTTGCTAATTGATTTTTGAATCTTACTTTGATTTAACTCTTTCAAAGCATTTTTTAGTTCCCGATTTGCACTGACAAAATTGGTACCATTGTCTGAGCGAATTTCCTTCACTTGCCCTCTTCGACATAAGAATCTTCTGATCGCATTAATACAAGAGTCTGTATCCATAGTATGGGCCATTTCAAGGTGAACTGCTCGGCATGTCAAACATGTAAATATAACACCATACCTTTTAACAGTGCTCCTTCCTCGCTTGGTTTCGATAGGGCCGAAATAATCCATACCAACGTATGTAAATGGAGGATGGTCCACTGAAACTCTGTCAGCAGGTAGATCGGACATTTTTTGTTCACCTGGCTTTTGTCCCTTTCGCTGACAAATCACACATTCTTTGATAATTTTCCTAGAAGCGGAGTTAGCATGAGGAATCCAGTAATGCCGACGAAGAGTTGAAAGCATGTGGTTTCTTCCTCTATGCCCTACTTTTTCATGTACATGTCGTAGAATGAGTTTTGAAACATGGCATGATTTTGGTAAAATGATAGGATGTTTGATCTCTTCTGGCAAAGCTGACTTGCTTAACCTGCCACCCACTCTCAACAACCCTTCAAC